ATATAGAAGTTTAAACATTTAGAATATATAGAAAAGTTAATAATAGGATAATTGAAAGAGAAAGGAATTCTAATTTTTATAATAGAAGCATAATAGTTTTGTATAATAGTTTTCCTATATATAATTACAGTAATTCAATATATGTGATAATAAGATTTTTAAAAATAGAAGGGCGAGTACAAGACATCCCCATCATAACATTCACACATACTATTTGGCAAACGTATTATTATCTATAGGTGCGTTGTACAAACATATATTTTTATAATGTTATCATCTTCGAACGAGACTGTTCGTATAATTGGGGTCGCTTTGGCTCGTTTGACTATTCAATTATATATCAACTTGCGTGATGTCCCCCTATGTATGTAATCAAACAACCAATCATGCATGCGTGGGAATAGATCACATGTATGGTATATGTATTCTTGTATATAATTCTTGTAATACGTATAATCATACATCATATAAATATAGCGCATTATTGTATAATTTCATGATGATGTGGTTAAATGGGGGGACTTTCCTCTATATTATTGCTTACATATATTATTGCCTACATATTGTTTTCTACATGCACTTTTACACACAATTTAAAATTTATGAAACAAAGTCATATTGAAGATACTAAATGCAAAAAGTTATCTACTATATACATTTAAACTTTTGTGTTTGGAGAGGGCTCTGTTTATCTACCAAACGATTGCATATAGCTTCGTTTGCGTACAGCGTATTGCACACACGACAATATTGCACATAACGTAAGTTAAGATTAAGTCTAAGTTAAATTTTTACTAGACTTAATTATAATTATGATTGATATGAAGAATACCTGTGATCCCAATGTTAACAGAATTTTTGTTGGTCTTAGAATATTGTAATCTTCCTTTTTGATAGAATATATACAAATAATGTTTTATCATCTAAAGAAATCAAACAGATTTTGAATAATTAAATTGTTATAATTATTAATTACTCTAAAAATCTGTTTGATTTCTAGATTCATAATAATGTATTTATAATAATAAAAGTTAGGAGTTTGATTTGTTAATTTGTATGTACTAATAGCAGCAAAAAGTGTAACAGAGAAATTTTAAATCTAGCTTTAAATCTACATTACTTTATTAAATCAGCAGCAATATATCGAAAAGCACGAATTGACATCATATTGCACGGGTACTTAAGTTGGTATCTTATTAAACGGACATACGAATTAGTATCTTATTGTTTGGAAGCATAAGCTGGCATCTAATTGCATGAAAGCGCGAGTTGGCATCTTATTCTACAAAAACGTGAATTGTCATGTTATAATATGAAGACGTGAATTGGCTTTTTACAACATTCTTGTTGGAATAAGCATTTTATAAATAGGAGACATCGAAATTCTCGACTATAGCTAACAAAATTAATATGCAAATCACATTCACAATACCCTACAAACTATACCGATTTATTAAAATAGGCAAAGATAACAAAATGAATAAATGTGAAGTACAGGATTGAATGCCAAGATTTGAAGCTTATATTAATCTACAAAAGCAACTATATATTGACAAAACTCAATATATTCGTAAGAATAATGTACAATAATATAAAATTTGTATAAAACAATAATAAAGAATTTGATAATATAAAAACTTTTCCATCGTCTCTCCCATGATTAGCATCATGATACAACGGCAAAGTTAAGCGAGCACTTGATAATAGGTGTTTAAAGGTGAGTGAGCAAATCACAAATCGCAAAACCTATCATGAATTCACTGGTCACAGCATCGAACTCGACGTGAACGATGTACTTGAAGTCGTAGGATAACTGATGTTGGGCTCTTTATTCTCCTTCACTTTCATCTGCTCTTCAGAGTCTTCTTCTTGCGCTCGTCAGAATCCGGTTCCTTAGGCAGTGGAGGTATGTCCACTGGTAGATTAGGCAATTTCCCCCTAAAAATGCAAATGATATTAACAGATTAACACATCATATAATGTAATATAATTATATACAATTATATTATTATTCTATCAAATCTTTGCATATACCAATGTTATACTTATATGATTTTTTATAAAGAACTTTTTAATTAAACATAGCTATATTAAAAATAACTTTATTTGTATCTTATTAGACAAATAAATATTTTTCTTATTAGTTATAGCTTATAATTATCTTATATATCACAAACTTTCATGGTGAAACTCATAAAGAAACAGATACAAATAAAATTAAGGACTAAGGGTATTTTTGCTGTTATAAGCATCATGGGGTACACGAAAATTTGATATGTAGATATATTTAGATATTCTGATAGCTTGCAATCTCTCAAATGTTAGGGACAATGTCAGGATTACGTCTAGACATCTTTAATGATGGTCTCCCACGACAGAAGCTACCAAGAGGTATTTTTAGCAGTCCATAGCTTAAAGTCTCTCTATTTCTGAAGAATACACACTTTTATGTTATGGACAACGCAAAAGTTATAACAACCTACATTATTATTTACAATTATGGATTACATACTAGAAAAAAAAATTTATTTTAATTATCTATGTAATTATCTATGTATTATTGTGGACTTTATAAGACACTGTGATAATTTTGACATATCAATTACGCTGCGAAATCGATTGCTATCTCAATAACTTTTTTTTTTACATAAAACGTGAATATATAAATAAATTCAGTAGTATATAAATTTTGTAGAAATGAGATTGACACTCTACAGTATCTGATTCTCTTTTGACACATCAATCCCATATACGTAGGACAAAAGACAACTGGGCACAAGAATAAAAGAAAATTGAAACGACATTAACAAAATAATTTTCTGATTCCTCTTCAGAAATTTCTAAACATAGAATCTTTCAAAATCAAACATTTAACTGAGAAAACATAAGAATTCTGAATAACGAGCCCTCTTGCAAAAAGAGCCATTTCTGAAATAATATACATTAAAAAACAAACTGACTCTGGTGAAAATTTTTCTCAGAATTTTTTAATTTTTCAGAATTTTTATATAATTTTATAACTTTCTCACATGTTTTATACGAATTGGAACATTTCTCAGAAAATCTACACCTTTTTTCAGAGAGAGAGAGAGAGAGAGAGAGAGAGAGAGAGAGAGAGAGAGAGAGAGAGAATTTTTATTAATATATATTAATTACGAAAACAATATTATAAAGGGCATATATTACTATACAAGATATTGGAAACGAACAATATATAAATTTATTAAATTCACACAGAACAATTTTGAATTAAATATAAACGTTTCGGTCTTAATTTAACCATCTTCAGTATAATATACATATAAATAAATTAATTTACGCGATGCTGTTATCGCAATTAGTTTAACAAAGTACTTGAATTTACTGTATAAATCGAATCTTGTCAGTTACATTAACTTTAACGTAAAAAATGTTCGTTATATTTATAAGTTATATACGGAATATACAAATTAGTCTTTTAAGAGATCATTTACATTGTATCCATTATTTAGAAAAAATTGGCTAGATGCTCGAACGCATAATTTCCAGATTCTAACAAGAAAAAAATTTTTTCTTTATTATATACAATCGTTAAAAGAAGTGTAAATAATTCTTATACTATATATCATTGAGAATATAAGCCAAAAAATCAGATTTGTTAAAAAGAAAAGATTATCTTGATTATAGCTATCGATAACACAATGTGCTCCCTACCCTGAGTCACTACGATTGGTGATACACTGAAAAAAGTATAATCAATTTTAATAAATATTTAATTAAATATTGCCAACTAAATATTTATTAAATATAAAGATATATTTATTTGATACAAGAAATGTTAATTTGACTTAACAATCTTTTTTTTCTGAACAAATATTTATTTACTGTAAGTAAACGTTTAATTGGCAGTATTGAACTAAATATTTATTAAAATTGACTGTATTTTTTTTCTCAGTAAGAATATAAGAATTTCAACCTATCAGAAACTGTGTATTCTACAATACGTGATTTCTGATAGGTTGAAATTCTTATTCTCTGTTCTCTGTTTCCTGTTTTTTTTATTGTACGGAGCCCCTTACTGGATGTAAAAGAATAATTACGTGAATGTAAATTACGTAAATATAGATAAAATATATGTATATTATCTTTATATCCATTGCAGTTTGTGGATGCAGCCAGACATCAATTTTTAATTTGAATAATGAGACCTGCATATTAATTTTTCAACGTTACGATTTTATCAGCAACGTCGACTTCCTGGCTAGATTAGAATCTTACCATTGTACTGACAGTGCCAGCATCATTGTCAATACAGTGGTAAGAATATGATACGTTATTCACATCATTTTATAAAATTGATATTGGTGTCGCTAAAGGCTTAAACACAATAGGCACAGGAAATAACGAGCCATCCAATCAGAACTCTGGGATATAATATCAAACTTAGTCCAGATCCTCATACAGGCAACAGCGCTTTGATATCGAATGTTGATTAGTGAAAAACGGACGATGGGAGTGAATTTTATTTCCACAACCAACTTTTCACAAATCAGCGCTCTGTGTCAAAGCGCTGTTGTTCCTATGAGGATCCGGGCTTACACATCAGCGTTCTGATTGGACGTTATTCCCTGTTGTCTATTCCTATTGCCTGTGTCTATTGTATTTAAGCCTTAACGAAAACTTCTAATGCCTAATTCACACTGAACGCAGTAAGCATCAAGCAGCGGAGCAGCAATCAATCAGTGAGGTGAATTTATATATACAGTGACGTAAACAATATCGCCTTGCTGATTGGTTGCTGCTTCGCTGCTTGACACTTGCTACGTCCAGTGTGAATTAGGCATAAGTCTCACACGAAAAAGGCCGAGAGTCGAGATGGCCATTCTTAGAGGTTTATCTATGGTCGAACTAGAGTTGTTTCTTCGTTGAATACATGGTATTTATACTATGGTCAATATTGGTTTATATAATGAATCTATCGAGACAGTTCTCATATTTGTTGTTTAATTGTAATTGATTTTTGATAATCGATGATTCGTTTTTTCTCTTTCTTTCTTTTTAATTTGAAAATGTGGCAGTATCTCAGTTACAATAGTTGAATAATTACTTCAAATTTCTAGTGAAACCTTGTATCAGTTGTATATCGTGTTATCTCGCTTTTTGCTAACACCTAAACATTGTTCAAATCCAACTTGTAAGTGTAATAAAGTTATTATTGTTATATATTTATTGTAAGTAAAAAATAATCAACATGAAACGATACAGTTTTAGGCAGCAACTACCAAAAATGTTATCTGCAATCGTCAAAGAACATCAGAGCAAGCAAGCTGTGAGAAAAGAAAAGCAAGGTAAAATATGTGAATTATTTAATTCCATTTTAAAGATTTTTATGATGATTTCTAAATATAATCTCTTTAAAATGCGTGAAATGATTTAACAGAGCAAAAGCGGAAAGAGGCTGTTCAGGCTGCAAGCAATCTGACACAAGCCCTTGTTGATCACTTGAATGTTGGGTAAATAAAATTTTTGTTTATAATTTAATCTAATTCATAGATAGGCATGTATAAATGATGGAATATATATCTGTGTCCCATGTATCTTAAGCATGACACACGATGCTTGTTTTCTTGGATTCCTAGCTAGATTAGAATCTTACCATTGTACTGGCTATGGTACTGACAGTGTCAGCATCATTGTCAATACAGTGATAAGAATTTATTATAGCTAGCAATCCAGCAAGAAAACAAACATCATGTGCTGCCAGCTTTAATGATCAAAAAACAAACTTTATTATTTGTACATACATAATATTCAATTTTATAAATATATATATATTATACACATATATATGATTAATATTTTGTTGTTATCGTTGTTACAGTGTAGCTCAAGCATATTTGAATCAAAAAAAGCTAGATGCTGAAGCAAAGCAACTACAACACAGTGCAACCAATTTTGCTAAACAAACGCAATTATGGTTGAATTTGGTAGAATCTTTCTCAAGCTCTTTAAAAGAAATCGGGGATGCAGAAAATTGGGCACGCAGTATAGAAGGAGATATGAGAACCATAGCCACAGCTTTGGAATATTCATACAAAGGTATAAAGCTAATGAAATGTTATGTATAATTATATCTTTGTATGAAATAACTATATCTTTGTACAAAATATATGTAATATATTGCGTATTATTTTTTTAGCCACGCAAGAGAATCAAAGTGTTGGTAATGTTTAAAGATATGTGATGTAAGACATTGTTTTCCTAAGTATAATATGGTTAGCGTCAGGAGTAATATAAAGATTTTTATAAATAATTTCATGATGTGAGTGATAATTTCATTTTGTTAAGATATATAGAGTTAATGTGATTTAAGTTGTCAAAGAAAAAACTGTTGTACATAGTTTTTTTGTAGAACTAAATTGTATATACATTAATTAAGTCTACAATGCTTTTTGTTTCCTGTTTCTTCCGAAGTTCGTTAACTTTTATCTTGGGCGACATAAAACAAAAAACCGGATAAGAAGCAAAAAGACAAAATGTAAAAAATAACAAAAAGCAGAACACAGAAAACAAAAAGCACATTATAGAATAGGATTTAATGCATCTTGTTTTAATTAAAAAGAACTATTGAATCGTTGAGAAGAGATATACATATTTTATTTTGTTCAGAATATTTCTGTGTTTCGTTAATTTTACAATCTCGTATATTATATAATAAATAACTACTGTTATAACATCATATTTGTACTAATATAATTTTTAGTTTTTTGTTTAATATGAATAGCCATAAAGAAAGATCTAGAAAAGCACATTATTATAAAGTAAATTAGGGAAAATATATTCAATAATTTTTATGTAATTTACGGATTTTTTTCATTAATGTAGAATTATATTTATTTTTGATATCAAGATATTCCCCTGTATGTGTGTGTGTGTGTATGCGCGCGGGTGTGTCAAACATACTTTTTTAATCTATTTTCCAAGGTTGCAGTAACTACTTAATAAGTTAAAAGTTAAATAAAAGTTATAAATAACTTTTAAAACATCATGTAATTACTTTTATACTTATTAACTTTTTTTAAGTTAAAATTTTGTTATCTTACTAAATGCCAATACTATTTTCTATAAAATCTTAAATGTTAGAGAATTAGAGAGAGTTTAGAAAAATAAATAATTGTGTGAGAGACGCGAAGCTTTTGCTCAAAAATGAATGTAGTTGGATTTGCATTTAGGGAATGCTCTCAACGAATGCATTGAAATCGACAGAACAGCTAGTATGCTTACCAAGCAAATGAATGTAATTGGTTGTTACTTAAAGATCCAACCAATTGCATTCAATCGCTCGACGAATATGCTAGCAGCTTTGTCTGATTTGAAACCCATCGGCATGCTTGCCGAGCGAATGAGCATAATTGGTTCTTACCTGTAGATCCAATTAATCATGTAATAATTTAATTGCTTGGCGAGCAAACCTAGCCGCTTTGTCGAATTGAACTCTCCCATTGTGTTGTACTATCTTTGTTTTACTAATGAGAGATAAAGGAAGAATAAACTATTTACATATAATTTTCAAAGAACTAGCAGGCGTGGCCAACATAAAGAGGAATGTAAGATTTTACTCACATTTTTTTAATTACATTTCCTTTTTCTTTTATAATAACAAAATATGAAAATACCTATGTAAAAATATTAAAAATCAAATTTTTATTGTACAAGAAATATCTTTATTATTTTATATAATTTACAAATAAAATGTTAAAGAATGCATCCAAAGAATATAAGGCCTGCTCCCCTAATCCAGTTAGACAGGGTTGAAATAGGCACCAAATGAAATCTGTATGAATTTAAAACAGGTATACAAGTAAATAGGACAACATAATTTGCATGACAATATTAACGCTTGTTAAGCAATCAAGTCTGTCTTTGGTGAGGTTTTTATTTACGATCCTTCAACAATCTCAAGTGATCTAACCGAACTGTTTAATGAGATGTAACGCAGGTGTAATGCAGGTGTAGATTTAAAATCGGCCTAAACGCGTATAGAGAGTATAAATTATATACAAGATAGATGGGACAAGCAATTGTGTGTAATATATTATAAAACAAATTATAAGCACAACTTGTAACAATTTAATTTGCAATATGTTAATCTGCAATAATGTTACTATAAACGGCATTCACAGAAATCACAGGACTAAATCACGTGGCCTTCCAAAAGTATCATAAATCTATATCTATATTATGATGAACGTTTAGTTGAAGGCCTACTTTAGGTCACGGTATAGAGCAGGTCGCACGGTGTAAATGTGGCCAATGTGTGTAGTAGGAGTAAGAGTAGACCTTGTTCCGCGGAGGCGGCGGCCGCGCGCGTCGATCGCAAACGGTCGGTCAGTCGGCTATTGACACATCGTCCCAATATGGCGGTAAGGTGGAAAACGATGTTCTCGCACAGCGTGCGTCGTGATCTCATTCCTGTGCAGTGAGAATTTTCCCAGGTAATTGTCTCATTATATTACAAATGGAGTCGCCCTGGCAGAACCTTTTACGTCTCTTCAGACTCTCTGTCCCTGTCTCTTCAGACCCTTGCCTGGTCTTGCCTGACGTATACGTTTAGAAAAACAATATGTGACACGTTAAATTATTAATAAGACGACTGCGGAATGAGCAAAAGGATCTTTGAATGAACAAAAGGATCAATCATTATTCAATGGAGTTTCTTTATGTGTTGTTTAAAGGGATAACTATAACTTCAGTTCAAAACCAACAATCTAGATACCATAAATTGACAATTTTCTAATTTATTTTAAAAAATTCTATAGATTCCATGAAATGTAAATATATTAATCAGTTTTATGATAAATTGACTACCGTGTCTCCAGATTATACATACATTTATATTTTGTATTGCACTCGAATTAAAGTTGTAATTATTATCAAATTATCTAAATTGATTTTGTTTGTTTACTCTGTTTATTTAAGGAAGATTAATCTATTTCTTTCCTTTAAATTTTATATTAGTATATAGATTAAGTATATATATATATATATATATAAAAGTAATTAAATGATAAATTTATTTCTTATCTTAGAAAAGAAATTCAACATAAATGAACATTCTCAAGTTATTGAATACAGGGTACTGAATCAGAAATTTTTTCGAAAAGTTTATAGAAAAATAATTAGTTTATTGTAACTAACATATGTGTTTTCTTGTTACATTTATTAAATTAGCATTATTTGAATTAATCAACTCTCATTTGCTCCATTAGTTGTCTATGTTACTTGACTTTCATTATACTGTTGACTTATGAAGATTTTATAACATATTTTTATTTTTAGGTTTAATTTGAAATCTGTCACTGGTAGCTATAACCATGGTATGAGCCTTACATCAGATGAAGTAGTGTTAGACAATAATTAACATTCTTAATCGCTGTACCTTTACTTGGATCCCTTTGAAAGATGCCAAGTTTACGGAAGAAAGTTGCCGGTTTCATGCGCCAATTGTCTATCAGCAATTTGGCTGGAGCTGTGGAAAGTATAGGCCTTGGGGAACAGACACTTCGAAGCCCGCAATCATTAACTCAAGATTTTCCTGGTGGCTGTTTCATCACGCGCTACCTCAATGGGTAAAAATAAGTCACACCTGAATATTTTCACATTTTTTTTATTTATCTATAATAATATGTTATTCTAATTAATACGTCTACATTAATCTTCTTAGACTAGAAACAAAACAAGAAGGACCATCAATTTTACACGGCCGAAATCCAGAAGAATTGCCAAGCAAACAGATCGACATTTTTCAAGAAAATGAGGAAATATTCGCAGCCTACACTGGTCCTGATAGTGGTCTTACAGCAGTCAATCTTCAACAGAAACATTTAAGTATTAGCGATACTGACATTGATTACATTGATATGTTAGATCAAAATGAGCAATATAGAAGTGGTAAGTCTAAAGCAAAGATATTACTGAAATAGATTTTTATTTGTTACAAAATAAAAATACAAAACTTTTCTTAGGATCAACAACATCAAATATAACAATTGCTGGAGTTGCCGATTGGTTTAATCCTCACGAAAATGCATATGGAATTGCGACTACTTTGTACGAGAAAAATCCTACAAACGACACTAGCAATGGAGAACCAATAGCCGATTGTTTTGGCATTATAGCAAGACCAAACTCTGCCATACTAGCTCTTGCAGATGGAGTCAATTGGGGTAAAAACATAGATTTAAAACATATGTTCAAATTATAAAAGGCAGAAATAAAAGTTGGAGCACAATAAAAGTTTTGTTTGACAGATGTATTTGTAACTTTCACATATATTCAATACTCTTAAATTTTAAGTATTGATTTATTTAATATCTGATAGAAAATAACTGACAGAAAAATATAATTTTTTTTCTTTATACTTCTTTATACTTATCTTTATTTATGTTTAATCAAATTTGGTTTTTTTCCTCTCTAATATCTTTCTTTTATCTTAATTTAATTGCAAGCGATACTTATAATTCGGAGTTTCAGGTACAAAAGCGAGTATAGCAGCCAGATCTGCAGTCCATGGAAGTATAGAATATTTGAACCAGACTTTATTTTGTCCATCTATTAATAGTGAAATGACAACGACAAAAGATGTATTTATAGCGTTACTTCGATCATTCCATGCAGCACATTCGATGATTCTTCAAGAGCAAGGAATGCTTACTACCTTAACCGTATGCACCATCCTTCCACTGCCAAGTTCAAGTACCGATACAAATATATGCCAGAGAAAATATATTGCTTGTACCTGCAACGTTGGTGATAGTTTAGCTTACGTATATTCAGGGTATGTATTTCTTGTTATGTATTTACAAATTGCAGCAGATAAGTTAGGATTATTTGATTATCGTCTCTTATGCAAAAACAAAACAGGAAAACTGGAGTAAGAGAGATAACGCGGGGATCTCACGATATTCATTGCATGCGAGACATGCGAGATGCCTTAGGAGCTCTAGGCCCGGTAGATGGTTCTAATCCCGAATTGAACAACTTGACGTTGGCTATAACAGAGGTCGAGAGAGGAGACATAGTGTTTTTGACGAGTGATGGAATTTCAGATAATTTTGATCCTGTGGTTGGAAAATTTGCAGTTTTACCCAATCACAGCAGCGGCGCTGATGCCACATTGAAAAGTCACGATGCAAGATTAAAAACTCGTCGAAGATCGACGGAAAATCTGCGGCACACTGAGTCGAGTAATAGTAATGTAAACAGCAACAATCTGCCAGTTGTTGAAGCTTACCAAAGGCACGAACTTACCTTGCTCAGAATGGAGGATCTGTTGAGACGCGGAGTTTCTGGAGAAGGACCGCCGTGCAACAGTGCCAAACATCTATGCGAACTTCTTTTGGACTTTGCGGTAATAAAATAAAAATATTTTATGATGTATTCATAATAGGTATAGATTACGCATTCCCTAATCTCGATATCTGTGCTCTGTTAGAATGAATTGTACATATCAGCATCTCTTTTCAACTCGATACTCGTTAGAGAGAGAGAGAGAGAGAGAGAACACAATGTGATTCAAACCAGTTGAAATTTCGGAATGAAATTTTAGACTAGTTACAGTTATGGTTCAAAGTTAAGGCTACTCAACTTTCGGTTTCGGTCCTTTCGGCGACAACGATTACAGATGTATAATCATTGAAAAGGACCGAAATTAAAATGATCCTAGTGACCATTACGGTAAAAGAACTGAAACCAAAAGTTGAATTTAGCCTCCGATCATTATCCGGACTGAAATTGATCAGTCCAAATCCTTGATTCAAACTACCTCACTCTTTCTAAACCAACAGTGACTTCATATAAATGTGCAGTATATTTTTATTATATCTATTCATTGATTGACAATATATTTATCAATCCCTGCCTTGTGTCCACAGGTACGTATAACTGCAGCAAAGAGGCGAATCCTAGAAGACACGGAATTATACTATGCACAACATAAAGACGGTCACCTTGTACAACTCTCAAAACACGAACAAAGATCTCGAAGAAAAAAGACATTGGAGAAGATATCTATGATACCTGGCAAGCTAGACCACGCGACGGTTGTAGCATATGTAGTCGGACCCTAAATTTCTTCAAGTGTAATTAACAATAGAGAGAGTATAGTTTTTATTCGTATATAAAAATTGATAGATTAAACTTTCTATATTGTAATATTCTTACTTAGCGTTAATAAAAAGCGAATATATATCTTTTACAAGTCAATATCAAGTCAATTTATCTTTAGAATTAGTAAGTGTAATTAAAATAAAAAAAACGCAAATTCCTAACATTGTTTTTGTATAGCCAGTCTGTCAAACAGTATCATTTATATATATAGTATGAATTATTTGTACCAATGTAGATTAATTTTAATCTCTCTGTCTGTTTAATTTATTTTCTATTTTTTCCTAATCCTAAGAATTAGAGATAAAGTGTTTATTGCTATTTCAAGGCAAGCCCTACAAGAACATACAGAAAAATTATAACAATTGGTAGTAAAAGTGTAAGAAAAAACAAAAACTATATATATATATATATATAATACAAATATATATATTACTAAAGATTATTAAAACTAATAACAAATAACAAATTTAAACTAATAATATATCAATAAAATACATAAAAATGAAATAAAATATGATAAATATGATAAATTAAAATGATATTAAAATTAAAATTATATTGATAGGGAAATGGACTAATTCATAAAATTACTAGAAATGTAGTCCCAATTTTAATAAAGCCTACAGCAACATATCATATATTTTGTTCCTATTAGATCGCATACGGTCCAACGGTACGGGATCTCAGAGATCTCGTGTACTGTTAGTGCGCAAGAACCAGTACGTTTGTTGCATTTCGCTTTCTCTCCGAACGCTCGAGAACGTTATCGCATGCCTGTCTTTCGTTTCCTACCTCCGTGATCGCAAAAAGTTGCGGCGCCTCGATGCGGGGCGCCACCAGTGGCGCAGACTGGGGCCTTATAGTGCCGCGCCAATGGCAGCCTTGACAAATACATGATGGCCGAATAGTGTAACGCGTATATGGTACTGTCGTGTAACTGAAAAGTTTATTATTTTCAGTGGAGTATCGTCGTCGCGCGTGCTCCGTGTACGTTGTTTTCCTCTCGGCGAGGTGCGGCGGATCGCGCCAGAACGCGAGATCGCATGCAGCGAAATCGCGCGCGAGCGTGAAAATTCCCAAGAGGAAAACACGGAGTGGCAAAACCGCGTTCTCGTAGGTAATATTGACAACTTTTCGTCACGACGCTACACGCATTTTTGCGCGTCGGCCGCCGAACGCGCGCATCGCCGCGTCGCACGCCGGCACCCTCGGCCTACCGGAGACCGTGATTTTTCCCGAATCCCAGCGTTTTCTTTTGTTTACGCCTTGTCAGTCGGGCCTTTTGTTGTGTGCAATCCGCGCGCCGCTTACACCCGTGAGCGAGAGTGAGTGACTCCCGTGTGTGATTCTCAATTCGTATGCATGTGTTGGTGGCTTGTGTGGCACGTATCTCGCACACAGGCGCGCACAGTTATAACCTCAAAATATGTTTCCAGCTGGCGAATTCTCGTACGAGCCTCCCGAAATGTTTCACTGGGATCCCCCAACCCCATAGAATTATCGTATAGACTGGAAAGATCACCACTGTCTCGAAACACAGCGGTTCTCGTTCAATCGTGTAACATGTTACACCGTTTCCCAGATCTCTCGCGTACCCCTCAAGGCGAACCCGAGAATCTCGCGATTCAGGCCGATTTAATCGCGATAGAATCCGCGGAGAGCGTCTAAACTATTCGATTTTTTGCGTAAATACTCTATTCGTGATAGTTAATGAAGTCTCCGCTTTTTCTTTGCAGAACACAAATCGGTAGCAAAACCTGTGTCAGTAGAAAGCCTAGTGTGCTTAGCGACGTAAACGACATTTTTATTGAGAGAAAACGATTATTCCGGCTGATATCTCGTGAGTAAAGGCATATAGTTATGGTATTACACTCACGACAATTGACAAGTATTCAATAATGTCTGTGGGTTACTTCCTGGACTTGGGATAGCGCGTAACACAAATGAACTGTTACTTGCTGCTAAGTACTGTTAATATTGTTCTCTGTGCATATCTCGAATGTGTTGTCATGGACAAATGTAGTGACGCTACATTTATAAATGGATAAGATCCTGCAGCAGATGCACTTTAAATATAAGTCAGGATATATCCACAATGCAATTGTACAGTTGTTTTTTAATGGATAAAGTAGTTCAAGAGAGAACTACTTTCTATGTACTACGAAGCAATGCCTATAATGGCTACGAATGGTTAGTGCTGAAGCAAGATTTTTAAAAGTGACAATATACTTGGATACAAGTATATTTTAGAATTGACACAGTGTTGCCTGAGCTTCGGAAGAAATTGTATGCATGACAGGAACAGGAGACGTAGGTCGCAGACGTGTTGAGTGGCGCCGAAACGCAAATATTGCTCTCTGCAACTGTTGAATAATTTTGGTAAATATATGTGTTAATATATATTTAACTTAAAGAAATGATTTCTCAGATATTAAATATAATTATTAAAAATACAACTTCGACTGTTATGGTTTATTTTCTATTGATTCTGTTTTCACATGTATGGTCCAATAAGATTTTTTTAAATATAAAATATCTTGAATACTTTTATTAGACATATTTTAACTATATTTATTAAGTTGCTAATGGTTTTATTCAGTATATATCAGTTTTATGAAATATATCATTTTTTTCATACAAATCAAGATCTGATTACTGATAGTTACAGTTATTTGTATATTATGTTTATTTTCTAAAATAATTTCTCATAGATCTCTGAACTTGTAAAATGAAGGAAATGGTATTTTATATTAATAGGTAAGAACTAAATAAGCTGGATAGGTGGCTAGACGCTACCCATAGTAAAGAGGGGCTGCGTGGGCATGCAGCAGCCTCAGTCACGCCCTCTTCTTGGGGACTCAGTATCCTCTACAACTTCCCCGAATGCGCGTCATAATAATCCAGTTACTGTTTTGACCCAACAACAAGTAAGATTTTATAGAAACATATAGATTTGCTTGTTATTTGATGCTCTTATACATGATCTCTTTATGTATCTCTCCTTCCAAGTTAAAATGTACAATTATTTTATTTGAAATTTAAAAAATACAAAAAAAATTGAAATAGATCTTATTTAAAAAATCCCTTATTTGTCATTTTTATTGCAGTTGCAACAATTACAACAATTACAAGCCCAGAATAGCAGTGGCCAGTCGCTGACATTTGCTTTGCAACAGACATCAAATAATGTAAGATATTTTTTATTAGCGAGCACATTTTATCGATTTTCATTCTAAAAAATATCATTCTAATGTCATTACTTATTCTTGCAGCCACAAGAGCAAGGAAATGGGTCGGCAACTGGAAATCACATAGTCTACGTAAATCAGTTGAACCAATTGAATCAAAGTACCATAAATCCCTCGGGGACTGGTATGGGCCTACCCCCGGCCACCCCCACTTTTGGGGTGGGCCTTAATATGGGATTGCCACTATCACTTCTAAATACCAGTCTTACATCTCTCACATCCAATGTTATCACCACATCAAATCCTCTGCTGAATTTGGGCTTGCCAAGTATAAGCACAGGGCTAACTACGATAAATCCTAGCCTGAATCATTTAAATGCTATCAATTCCAATCTAACGTCCAACATTGGTTCAAACAATATTAATAACAGTTTGTCCAACTTGGGACAAGATTTAAATAGCATTAATACGGGAGTAAATACTGGGATAAACAGGCTCAATACAATAAATTCTACAAATATTAATTCTGGGCTATCTGGAGTAAATACTGGACTAACTGGTCCAAATTTGACAAATCTAAACTCATCGAGCGTAAATCAGAATCTTACTGCATTGAATACCAATTTAACTGTCGCGAATTCCGGCGTGTCTGGTTTATCTGCAATTAATCCAAATACAAATTTGACTACTACCAGTATAAATTCTGGTGTAAATCAAGGTCTTAATCGACCTGCAAATGCCCTGGCAACTGGTTTGACGCCAACTAGTTTGAATTCTAGCAGTGCACAGTTTCCATTCCAAACGATACAGAGCATTCAGACTATTGCACCACACATTGTTGCCTCATCAAATATAGCACATGTACCAAACTCTGCTATATCGCAACATCCTAATTCAAACATCTCAACAATCTCACAAATCTCTAATTCTGGAACTCTGACTAGTTCCAGCATATTCACAAGCACTCCCAGTGAATCAATTCATACAACCACTGCAAATGTGAATCACGCTTCGAACGTGAATCTCACTACAAACATACCGCACCTTGGTACAATGCACCCTAATTTATCAAATATATCAACGTCAAATGTACAACATATATCCGCATCTAATGAACCGACCATGTCATTGAGTCATGTTTCTTCTTTAAGTTCCTCCCAGTCAACTGGATTTCAACCACAGCGACAGTATTCACAGGGGATAAGCCCCGGGTTAAATGCATCAGTCGCATTAACAGGCACAACACAACCGTCGAATGTGGTCAGTACTATGAATACTGTTAAGTCTATGCAAAATATTCAAGGTCAAAACATTAGTTCGCCGGGTAGTCCGTTTTCAATACCCTTGAAAAGTCCAGCGTCTAATATAGCACCACCTACGCCGAGTCCTAGCCCTAATCGACTTTTACTTAGAAGTCCGGCTTCAAACTCAATACAGTCCAATCGGAATAGTCCAAGCCCAGTCAGCACGTCGACTTCGAACAGTAACTTTAACATGCAGATGCAAAGTCCCATGCAGAGTCCGATGAGTGTTAGCCAAATACAGAGCCCTGTACTTAGCCCATATCCCCCTGCAAAAAGCCCTCATCTATTAAGCGGGAGTAATTCTCTCAACAATAGAAGCCCAGCACCTGGAGGTAGCCCCGGTCCACCTGTGGTAAGAATACTTGCAAAAAATTTAGAAATTTAGAAATTAAACTTTGCTTTAATTCCTTATTGAAATTTAGTTTTTTTTTTTTTGCAATTTTAATGTAACATATATTTTAATGATTTTGTTTGAATACCCGTTAATGTCTCTAAGTTTATTTTTTCTTTTTATGTTTTAATTTTGTTTTATTTAATGCTGTATTATATATCTGTACATGGGAATATATTCATTATTGCAGTTAGAAATTGAAGA